CTTCTTCTTCTTCTTCTTCTTCTTCTTCTTCTTCTTCTTCTTCTTCTTCTTCTTCTTCTTCTTCTTCTTTCTTCTTCTTCTTCTTCTTGTCGTTCTCTAGTATCATTAAGTATGCATTGGTCTAAGGCTGGGGAGATGGCTCAGTAGAATAAGCACTTCCTTGGCAAGTGCAAGGGCCTGAGTTCAATCCCTGGTTCTACCAAAAAAAGAATGCATTGGTCTTTAAAAATAAATTTAATGCTGGGTTAGGTGCACACCTGTCATCCCAGCATCCGGGAGGCTGAGGCAGGAGGACTGCTGTGAGTTAGAGGCCAACTTGGGTTACATAGTGAGGTTAAGGCCAGTCTGAACTATATAGTGAAACCCTGCCTCAAAAACACAGATAAGTAAATAAATGTAAGGTGTTGTATTATTATTTTTAGAATAACTTTTTATTTTGGAATCATTGCAATGATGAAAATAATACGCAGCTCTTGTAAGTCTTTATCTAGTAACCTTGATGTTAATTTCTTACATTAATGTAAGAATTAATGTACCTTTCGGGAAACAGAGGAACTGGCGCTGTGTATTACCGTTAGCTAAATTCCAGTCTTCAGGCTTTATTGGTTCCGCCAGTGGTGTCTGTTTTATGTTCCACAACATTGCTCATGTTATTCAGGCTGGAGATGCAGCCCAGAACCCACCCAGGCCAGTGCTGGCCCGATCCGTACTCCTGTCCCCCTTAGCTTTCCTTTCATTTTCTTCTAGCGTTGCATACCCTGTGGGTAGTCAGGACAGGTGCAGAATTCATCTTAAATCTTTTCCCTTCACCTGAACTTGGTTTCCAGATTTTTCAAGTTCAATTTACCACTTTCCCAATATTTATAAAGTGATAGATGTAAGTTGAATAGCAGGATTTTGTTTCTCCATTAGCAGGACACAGTGATTCCTTGACACAGTCTCTCCCTCTGCTATAACCAGTTGGCTGCAGGCTTGAGTTTCTCTCTCCAGGGAAGGATGCAGACCTTGTGTCTGCCCGCCCTTTCCTCTCCTGTCCTAGTGAGTGCAGACTCTCTGGAACAACCTGAGGATTTGGAGTCTATCCAACCTTCTCTGCAAACTACACTGCTCTGGCTCTTTCGGGAGCTCCCCTAAGTTGAGCCTCAAAGATGCACCGACAGGAGATTACATGGAGAACAAAGCAGGGAGCCCGCAGTCCCAGACCCCCGTGCCATGAGTCCCTCTCCATCAGAGGCTGCGTCTCTCTGTGGTCTAGCTCTGTGCTGCGCAGCCCTGCAAGATCCTAGCTTTTCCTGGGGGCCCCGGCTTTGGGTATTGATGACGTCACCTCTTCCCTCTATCTCTCCAGCCCTAGCAACTAGAGCAGCTTCTTCTTGTTGCTGGGGCCAGAGTTCTTTTGTCTGCTCCTTTTTTTTTTTTAAGGTTTTGCAGTTTATTGAATCCTCTCATGAAAATACTCGCAGTCACTGCAGATAGGCGCTGCGGACTCTGGTCCTTCGGCTGTTCTCCGATCTCCAGCTCACGTTGTACCAGCACCAACACTAGCCTTCGCGGTGCCCCCAGTTTTCTTCATTCTGTTCTTGCGTTCCTTCCGCTGCTTTCTTGAGGTCCTTTTCTTCTCATACAGGCCGTGTCTTGCAAGTCTGTGTTTGGGCTCATTTTTCTTCGCATAATCCAGGGAATCATAAATCATGCCAAGCCAGTCGTCCTGCCACCACCAAAATAGGTTCTGAATCCAAACACAAAAATGACGTCTGATGTGGTCTTATACATTTTGGTGAATTTTTCCCGAATTTCTGTCTTAGGTGCTGTTGCTTTCCAGGGTGAAGGACATCAATGACCATTTGTTTCTTTTGAAAAAGTTGGTTGGTATGAACTTCCGGATTCAGATAGTTACTGTGTCATTCATGATGTCAACGGATCCTCAGACAGCTGGGGAGGAAAAGCTGTCCTTGCCTTTTGTACCACCTGTGTAGTCAATGTCTTGTATCAAATTCCATTTGCTTGACATATGTAGAATGTTTTATTTCTGTAATCCCAGCACTGAGGAGGCTGAAACAGGAGGATCTCTAGGAGTCTGAGCTGTGTAGTGAGACCCTGTACCAAATACATAAAAAAAAAGAGCAAATACACCAGATGTGGTCTCCAATCCCAGGGACCATATACTGGTTCCTTCCTTTAACTGCCTTTACCTGCGTTGAGACTCTTGATAAATTACTTAAGTTCTTTTAGCCTTATTCTTCCCATCAGGAAAATAGGATGATCACAGTATTGACAGCAGGGATGTCAGGATCGAGTGCAATGATGAACGACAGCTGCCTAGCTTGCCTGCTGGTGCGGAGCGGAAGTTTCAAACAGCATCTCCCCTCAGAGGCTTCATTGCTTACCTGGAGAGAAGGTCTGGTTAATCACTATGCATAATGCAATATGGTGCACGCTAATCATTTTGTGTCTATTCATTTATTCACTCATTCATTCATTCATTCATTCATTCATTCATTCATTCATTCACTCACTGCTTCATTCATTTGGTAACTCCAGGCCTAGCGCTGTTCTAATCGCTGTGCTAAGGGCCAGTGAAGATGCCCAGCTCCCTGGAAGCATTCCACTGCAGCTTCTCCGACTGTGGACTACATGAGGCTGGGAAGGGAAGCTTCAGGCAGTTTCTGGTTTTTTTCTCCAAAGTACAGGGCTTCAGAATAGAACTTACATATCTGAATTTGCCCCTCGCATTTTCATTTTCTGACTGTGTGACCCTGGGCAAATCTCTTAGCCTCTCTGTGCTTGTTGAATCCCTGGAAAACTGAGGTTCATAATAATAATGCTTACGTTAGAGGACTGACGCGAAGGCAGAAGGAGATGCGGAACGCGAAGCGCTTAGCAGAGTGCTGAGCACACAGGAGGGTCCCTAATCACTGACTGATGTCATTCGCTGGTGGTGCTTGCTAACCGCCTGTGACCACCTCCTATAAAAGAAGGTTGCTGTTCTAAATGCTGCATTCCTTAGCTTGGCAAAGTTTTTCTGGTGCCAACAAATCAGATGTGGATTCCTTCTGGCTTTTCTGCTGACATGTCTTGGCATATGAAAAAATACCAAGAGGCACGGCAGAAAAAATGTTGTTAAAGACACAGAGTTGGCTGTGGTTTTCCAGGGGTTGCAAAGAAGCCCCGGGAGAAAGCTCCTGCTGTCCCCTCCCCTCCTCTCCCCCTCATCCTCCCCCTTCCTCTCCTCCTTCTTCTCCCAGCGAGCCCAGCCCTGCCTGGCTCCAGATCTGTCATGCCTGGCTGGGTTTAAAGAGCTACAGCCCTTTCTCATGTAGAAGGTGTGAAGTTCAGTCCACAAACATGGCTGTGCAGCACACAAAGTTGTTTAGTTTTCGATAACCATGTCATCTCTATTTCTGTTCTCTTCGTCTGGGAAGTAGAAACTTTGTCAGCCAAGTAAAGTCCAAAGATGAACTGCAGGCCAGAGGGTCCCAGACGTCTTCGGGGTTTTGCCAGAAGTCCCCTCACCTCTCAGTGACCACCGGCGGCCCAGGTCACTGGCACGAGCATCTCCCAGCTAAGGGTCAAAGCAGGGGCTCCAGTTTTCTTCGCAAACCTGCTGTTTCTTTAGTCTCATCCATCTCAGGAAACAGTAACTGTTCGTCAAGTTTTCAGATCAAACATATTGTGGTCTTTTCTTTTAATTTTTAAAAATTGAAGTGAAATTCACAAAATATAAAATTAACCGTTTTAGAGGGAACAGTTCAGTGGCCTCAGCATCACAAGGGTCACCTCTCGTTCCAAAGCGTCTTCGTTTCCCCTAAAAGACCCCACATGCTGAGGCGACCACGCCCTCTCCTCCTCCCACCGTGCCCACCAACACAGGTGCTGCTTGTTGAATCCCTGGAAAACTGAGGTTCA